CTAAATTCTAAATATGAGTGACAAGACCGCTAATCCTCCCAGTCATTGAACGGGCCCTGTCCGTGCAAATCCCAACACATTTATCACATGACATGCCTGCATCCCGTATATATCCATCCAGAACTTCAAACAATGCCTCGCCAGTTGTGTGATCAGGAAGAGACCGACAGAAAAGAATGTCCTCCTCAGTATTACCATTTTTGACATATCTGACATAGGTAAGCAACTGTGCTAGCCCTGCAACATCAGTTGTCTCATCAAGCTGTAGGGAATAGTACTGGCTTTGCATGATGTTAGCTAGCAATTGCTCTTTAACGTCGCTTGCCATGTCAGATATGCAGTGGCTAACTGTCGTTAGAAAGGGGGATGTCACTAATCTGCTGAGCGAAATTCTCCAAACATGACCTGACAAAAATCTTTGGCAGCAGGTAAGATTAGCGCCTAGCCAATTGTGTGAGGTTTTCCTACTTTAGCAACTCGTTTGGAGACGTAGTAGGACGTTTCTTGACACCTGTTGGACACTGATGTGTGTTTGCTAATGTTGCTTTTCTGCTGTTCAAGGCCAGATAACTTTAATTTGAAAAAATCTAAGGGTTTGTCTTTGAGTGTCTGGTGTTTCGTTTCTAAATGGCGCTTCAGCTTGCATGGCTTCATGATGTAATTTGCCAGCAGATCTGCGCATATGACACTCTGGGGCAGCGGTTCAGCATCTGTCCCAGCCACCGTAAAGCCAAACTGAAGATGGCTAATGTCGTACTTTCGTGTTTTACACTTCTTAGGGATAGGAGCTGACGACTTATCCATAAACTTCCCAAAATCCGTTCCGCTGCTAGTCACTGATGTTCTGAAACATGTCTGCACTGACAGCTGAATAAAAGGCAGGCTAAGCTCCGCCTCTCCCCGTTGCCAAAAAAAAAGCAGAGGAAGAGGAATGCTGATTTTTTTTCAAGCATAGCAGGGGGATTTTTCCAAGCCGAGCGGGGTTTTTCCATTTGTGTATATTCTACTTGAAACGCAATAAAATGCAAAACATATGATTACCCAAATAATGCCTTTTCTCTGTTTTTTCTTGAAAACCATTTGTGCCCCCCTTCCGATCTCTCCGTGCCCCTCCCCCCTGTTGAGAACCACTGATTTAAACGGTTGAACAAAACAGTATCATGTTGCTCAGAGACGCAAATTGGAATTGTATTTGTTGGCGAAATAGAGCAAAAACAGTCAATATTGTGTCTAAAACATAAGTGTTTTAACATTAAATTCTTGTTTATTGAACTGCTGTATAAAATCAATATCACATTTGTAATCATGCTGCTTTTTGGCGACTTTTTTTGGATAAACCTTAGCTATGGTTCAGTTGGAAGATTTCGCCAGTGCTGTCCCGCGAAGGCGAGGTCTGACTTTCCCAGAGAAGTGTCACCTCTCTCGGCGTCTGTTCTGTGCAGTGAGCGGCAGAGAAGCAGCACATTCAGTTGGCCGCACCGCAGCCGACTCGTCAATAAATGACTACAAAACAGCGTTTCCTAGCACCTGTCGCTTACTGATTGTTTGGAATTATAAATATGAGCGTAGTTCGTCTGTTAATATCACACGCACTTTTTTTGTTTGTTGTTTTTTTTAGTTTGTTACTCAGACGCAGGCAGTGCGCTGCATGAGACAAAAAAGTAATATAGCCAAAACAACCGCATAGCCGCTCTTTAGTGTAGATGCATGTTGATTTTATCAGACGATGCCGCGATTTATAAATGAGAGTGACTTCTGGTTAACATGTATTAAAAGGGGTCGTGTTTAGTCACTATTTAGTGTGGTATTTTTTGGCAATAATCACTCATCATGACAGTAAAATAGGGCATTCCAAGTCAATATACTGCAGTATTTCCTCTCTCAATCAGTAGAAAATATGGTTAACACCCGGTCATGCATGAAAAAAAATACCGTCATGTACCGTGAAACCGGTATAATTTTGAAAAATACCATGATATAAATTTTTGGTCATACCACCCAGCACTATTACCTATGTCTTGTCACTGTCATTCTGTTGCACTGTGGAGCTTCTGTCACTAAAACAAATACTCTTATGTGTAAACATACTTAGCAATAAAGCTCATTCTGATTCCGATATATTTATGGCCTATATATATATATATATATATATATCCTATGTCTTGTCACTGTCATTCTGTTGCACTGTGGAGCTTCTGTCACTAAAACAAATACTCTTATGTGTAAACATACTTAGCAATAAAGCTCATTCTGATTCCGATATATTTATGGCCTATATATATATATATATATATATATATGTTGTGTAACATTAGTGTTGAAGTGACGTTAAATTAAACATATTTTGAACATTAAAGGGATGCTGTTTTACTTGGACACTATAGCCCAAGATCCCATGCACATTTTTTCTTTCTTGTTTTCCATGTGATCTCACCTTAATTTTCTTTAGGATGATGTGGAGAACAGGTTATTCTGAGCAAACATGCTTAGTTTTATTTATACATTTTTTTAGGCAAATAAGAGGTTACAAAAAGTATTACAGTAAAAAAAAAGGTGATGGCAGAAATGATAGTTTCTTTAATTTGTTACAACAAAGGAATACTAACATGGTAACTTCTGACCAAAAAGAGGGGCAATTAAGAAAACTTTTTCTTAGCAATTCACATTTCTCAAATTTGAGCAAGAAGGCTATTGCTTTGAAAATAACAATCAAATCAAATCTTCACTTGGATTAAATGGATTCCTCCTGTCTGTTCCTTCTAATCACATCCTGCGCAAATTTCTGTACACTGTAATATTTTCTTCTACTATTATGCATGTCCTACCTGACCTGCCATTTCTTCATCATTTCATTTTTGATCATTGCCTTAACAACTTTATCAAAGGGAATGTTTATAACATCCAGGATGTTTCGCACCAGCACTGCACATTATGTCTCCCTCATCAACACACCTGATTCAACTCATCAGCTCATGAGAGACTGCAAGACCTGAAGTGGGTGTATGTCAGATCAGGGAGAGATACAAAATGTGCAGACTCCAAAACATAAAATGGGAACATGGTTGGGAACCCCTGCGGCACTACAGCAGTGGGTGGAAGAAATAAAGAAATTAAGAAACAGTTACAGAGGCAAAGGACTTGCTCATGAGACGCCCATTAGCATGAGTAGTTCTCAGAGACTAGAGTTTTTGCCTCTAGAAGTAATCTATTGTTGCAGTAAATGTGTCTGAAAATGGGATGTTAGGACTGAGAGATCCTCTGGCTGAGAAAAAGCTACACCACATCGGTGCTGGATATCAACCACAAACTGTTTACAGACACGAGAGAAGAAGGTCATGATGGGGAAATGGATGGGGAAGAGCCCCCTAGAAGAGCCAAAAAATGCACATTTCAAATGGTTGTAAATCAGAGTCCAATTAACATATCAAAGAGAAAACCAGCAGGATTACTACTTATGCTATGCTGATTAAAATAATGTTGGGCACAGTTTTCAGAAATATATGGAAAGGTGGCATAAAGGCATTTTAAATATTGCTCACTGTAAAATACCACATTTCAGCCTGCCTCTCAAATAAATCCTAGAGGTTTGCACAATGAACGTATTTAGATATCCAGTTTTCCATTAAATATATTATTTATTTCATTTCGGTAATAAAAAGTTTTAAACTACATTACCCATAAGCCTCTGTCATTCTATCGACGGAAAGGGAAAACTTGGCACTGTTATTTGTAGTTCATTGAAGTTATGCTTAGGGTTAGGGTCAGGATCTCGCTAAAGGAGTAATTTCTCTCAACATAGCAACACTTCATTGTTGACTTAATATATTCCAAACGTGATAATATCAGCAAAACATACTTTTGTAACACGATGCGCTGTTTAATATGGGTTAAAGGATAGTCCAACCATAGACAGTCCTGGGGTGACAAGGGAAATTCACAGCCAATGACATCATAGCCGAGCAGCGGCGTCACACTTCCTTATCCATTTATGACAGATGTCTTCCGCTTTTCGGCTGAAGGGGAGGGATAGATTGTATTAACAATAAGTTAAATTTGCTACCTAATTGTGTTTCATTAACGTCTACACCTACCCCTTACAATAACGCGAATACAGTAATTATTGTTCAGCGCGACAATAATTGGGCATATGGATGTGCGCATGCCCAGCAGTCGCAGCTGTATCCCATCTAGCCTTAACCGATAGTTTTTGCCACTATAACGAATAAAAAAGCAGTTAATTACAAAAATGTATCCAGGAAAGACTTAAGGGAAAAAATTATAAATTTAAACAAATGGGAACGGGTGTGTAACTTAGAAATATGTAACAAAAAACTCCTTAAAGATATATATATA